TTCTTCTTGGACTAGTAAAGATTGACTGATCTGGTGATTGAGAAGGCTGTTAAAGAGACTGACAAGATATTCATGGTTCTACTTCGGCATCAGTTCAGCCTTCTGTAGAAACACCATGCTAAATGAAAGTCAAATCAAGGCATGCATAACCCTCTTTGCCTTTGGTACTCTCCTGGACCACTACCTTGTCCACAACAATGCTGACATACTTCAGACCCAGAACTGGCAGTTTTACTATTTTGTTACAAAGCAATAATCACTTTGGTGTCCTTAAATTTTTCACTTTTGTTTCTGAGAATTTTGTAGTCACTATGATGACAGGTTGGCACCAAGACTCAACATCAGTCTTGCTGACATAGTACTATTCAGTGCTGTCTCTATTCAATCCTTCAGTCCTATTTGGATTCCAAGGTAGATTAAGGGATACTTTACCTCTTTTTCAGGTGCCAACTCCCAGAAATAAATAATGAAATTTAATAAAATTATAAATTTATTAGTCTTTTTTCAGTATAAAGCCTCACCAGCTTACATCAAACAGAAGTGTAAATACAGGTTTTTGGCTCACAGAAGAGAGTTAAAATGAAATTTCAAATGTGTGTACATTAAGTATTTATCTCAAAGTTCATGTTAGAATGTTCCTCTTAATGCCTTTTATAGCTGGCAACCACACAACAATCCCTCAACTTGTTGCAAAAAGATAAAGATTACCTTAACCGCCAGAACATGGAGCTTAGTGTTCGCTGTGCACATGAAGAAGATCGTCTTGAAAGACTTCAGTTTCAGCTAGAAGATGCCAAAAAAGCTAGGGAAGAAATGTATGAAAAATATGTTGCATCCAGGTAAGTTATTTTGTGTTCTCTTCTTTTAGTAAACAAGTTATTTAACTGTTTTCCCTTGTTTCTTGCACAAATCCTGTTTAACTAAAAATAATTTTAACTTTCAGAAAGCTAGTCCATATTTGTGTAACTAGAAACTAAATAGTTTTGTTGGCTCTTAATGTGTCAGGAATTTTTTTTTTAAACCTTATATAGAAGCTTACATAGAAGTATAAGAATAAGAAATAATCTTCTTATAAGAAATATAGGGAGTATATATATCCTGTATACTATGGATATAGAACCATAGTAGTGAAGAGGCCATCATTGGAAGTTTATGGCAACTGTTCCCTTAAATGTATGTAGAGTTTTATGGGAGTAACTGTAATTGCAAGAGAATAAAAATCTTTAAAGTGCATATGTCACACATCTTGCCCCCCTGACCCTGCCCCAAATGACCTTTATTAAAAACAGGAGTATTTGAAAGGCAATCTAAACAATTATTGCAGAATAAAATATGTAATTTTCACAAATGTTTAAAATAGGACACAGTATGTTTTATGAGCTATTAGAGTTATCAGTCTTTCATATCTCAAGTCTGAATACAGATTCTTTAAATGTGGCCGTGAGAAACAGATTGATCATTGTATGCTAGCCACAATGGTAAATAGTGTCAAATCCTTACGCTGTTTGAATTGGAATAGGTGTATGCATGGGATGTTGAACAGGAAACACTGTGCTATTCAGCTACATATCTTGCTACATTTTTAATACTATGCTACAAAATTTCATAGAATAACTCAAATTGGAAGGGACCCAAAAGGAGCATGGAGTCCATCTCTCTGCTCCTTGCAGGACTACCTAAAACTGAATCCTGTGACTAAGAGCACAGCCCAGTTTCAAACCACATTCAGATTTTTCTTATTCAGAATTCAAAGTAATCCATTTCGTGTTATTTCCCGACAGCTACATGCCAGAAAATATTATCTCAATGTATATCCCATAATTTAATCAAATATTTCCCTGTATATAATGTACTTCATTCATGAACATAAACCCACTTTTTTTTTTTTGTTATTAGTGTCCTTAAAAAAACCTGTGGATTGAATGAGTAAGCTTAAAGTATGAAGTAGGTTCAGCTTCTCTTCAGTTGCTTCCTTCTGTTTGAATCAGGAAGATGGAACTGCAAACAGCATCTATAAATCTTGTGTCTTTGTGTAATTAAGATGAAGTGTGCTAATAGGACTCTCCTGTAATACAGCTAAAAGACAAGTTGTTATCTAAACAGAAATAGAGGAGCATTCTACTGAAATCATCATCTGTGGGGTTCCAGCACATATCAGAAGTGGTTTTAATCTATTTTTCCTTTCAATGAAGTCCCTTAGACTTTTAAAATTTGTTTTACATGTGTCTGTCTCAGTACTATGTTCATCAGGAAATTCTGCATTTTAAATAATTTTTTAAGACTTGTAATTTTTTTAAATGTTTAAAAAGCATCTGTCTGAGCAGTCTTGCTCTGTAAATATGCCTATAGGCAGTCACACTCCTGGCTAGACTTCTATTTCTAGAAAACCAGTGTGACATCCTTATCCTGTAATAATGATGTAGAGGCACTTTTACAGAGCTGTCTCCATTTGAGGAACCTAGAGAGGTACGTAGCTTGCCTCTGCTGCAGTCTGGGGTATGGTGCAAGCCTGCTTCCCTGTCCCTTGCACTTTGATACTAACTAAAGAGAGAGTCTGTGACTTTTACTTTGCCTTTAGGGATCTTGATATTGTCATTGGGATTCTATACTGTTACCCCTGTCTTGAGATCGTTGGTACTGGTGACTCTCTTTATGATGTTGATTTTTATAGGACAGATACTAACTACAATGAATAATGCAAGTGTGTCTGCTCTCCTTGAGTGGCCGTCACTGTCTTTTGCAAGGACAATAAACATAGCAGAGAAGACAGTGTAGTGTATTGAGCAGCACGTGTGGGACTGCGCTGCAGCTTGGGCAGCCTAGGTTTTATTCCAGGTTCTGCTGCTGACCTGCCGATGGGCTTTGAATAAGTCATTTTGTAATGTAAAATGAAAAAATGTTAGTGTAAGATTTCTTTAGTAAAATAAAGGTAATAGTATCCTTTGGCAAAGTGCTTTAAAACCTGCCTGTGATCTGAAATACTGTTGAAGCTGTCCCTTCTTTACATTTTCCCAAGCACATGTACACACTGTGTCCATCTTCTGAGACTGTGTCCCATAGTGGGGATTCCTGTCTCTTCAGCAACTTAAACCATCCATCTCTCAGATCAAATATCTACAGTATTAGATATATACTGAATGTCTACAGAGAGAGCTCTACAGAATCATATTTATTTGTCAGATGGAGTAGAGAGGCACAAAAGTAGAGGAGTACCTCCAACTAATGGGCATTGTACAGCCTTATGTCTCCTCCAGGTAGTACTGAGGTTTGGGTAATAAGCTTCTGTTTGCCACCTTTGGAAGTACTTGAGGCTTTGCTCACTTCACATCTGGATCTCTTTTGGCTGTTGTAGTTCAGGAATGCAGATGATGAGAACAAACCCAAGTATCTATTTCTAGGAATAGAGTATAATTCACTTTCTGGTCACCAGCAGAACTGCTGGCATTGGGGTACTGTAGTTAGAAAATTACAGACTTCAAGAAACTGAGGGATTAACCTGCCGAATTTTTAAAAATACATACTTCAAAATAGTGGCAAGATGAATGGCAGCAGCTCATAGCTACAGTTCTTGGGAATCAATGTGCAAGCACAGACCAACACAAAAGATTTCCCTTTATATGTTTAATCTTAAAACACAATCCACAGTTGCATTGAGATGCTCAGATGTCATTTCCTTTATTTGCAATCTGAAGCCTTATGAATAATAGGCCTGGAAAGAAGCTTATTAAAGCCTGCAGCCTGAACAAGACAAAACAACTTGATAAGGTAACCCCATTTTTAATTACTGCTGAAGCACAAGACTATAACAGCAGGTCAGGAGTAAAAAAACACAAATGGTGGTCCTTTGCTTCAGCAGGATGTAAAGATGTTGGCAGGGCAGTCAAGCTATGTACTTGGAATATGCCCTTTACTGTGTGGTGTATTTTAGCCATGGAGATGGGTCACTTTGAACTGTCTGCTTGTGACATCACTGTGAGTATTCGAGACTTACAGATTGGTGTAATTTTTTCAGTGAACCATCTAAATTGTCGAAGTACTAAGAAAATGGTAATGCTTGTTGATTTTGCACATAAGAATTGTGTCCTGACTTCCTGATCTTCAGCTTCCAACATTATAAAAAGATGTCAATATTACTCAGCAATGAAATTCTTTTATCCTGGAATTTTCTGATAACTGCTGCCTATAAATTTAATTATGCATCTTAATTTAGATTTCACATTGACAGGATAAATTCCTAAGTCTTTGGGGTTTTTGACTTAACAGATCTTCAGCGTTTCTTGTGATTCCCCCTTCCCACCCTGCCATGAGGTGCAAATAGTGCACAACAAAGTCTTGTAGTAGCTGGTAGCTTGGCAATATTGTAAGTTAGAAAGTTAATCAACACTTGTCCAGTGATGAAGAACTTGGAAAACTTTGGAAAGCAAGGATTTTTTTTTAAGTGGTTAATTAGTATAAATACTCATGTAGAGGCTGACAAAATTTCTGGAAGGATATTAAGCATAATGTTGCATGATTAATCAACATCAAATTACTTTTAAAAAATTGAGACAGCATGCAGATTTTTTTTATTTTTTCCTAATTAAATATTATTTATTCCTGATGGATTTTCACCCAATATTGTAACTACATAGGTTAAAATATATATTTCAAGCAATTTGGGAGGAAAGTGAGTGAGAATTAAAATGTAAAATCAAGAAGTGTTCTGCTCTACTTTGTACAGTTGTACCTAAAGTTTTGGTATTTTGACTAGTGCAATTGTTTTTAAATTCTCATGTTGTGTTTTTGTTAATTTACAGAGACCACTATAAAACAGAATATGAAAAGAGACTGCATGAAGAATTGGAACAAATAAGGTTGAAAACAAATCAAGAAATCGAGCAACTAAGAAGCACTTCGAAAGAGATGTATGAACGTGAGAACAGGTAGATAAGTTGCATGCAACAACTTAATTGGGGCAAAAATGGCCAAATACTGTTTTGTGCTTGGGTATAATCCTAGCTGACTCTCTCTTTGAGAGGTTATCAAAATGCAAGAGTTTAAGTTCAGTTATTAAACTGATGTGAATCTGGGGAGGACATCACCCAAACCACAATTAAAATGAAGTTATACTTGTGCAATAAATATATGGTGTTATCTTTTTTTATTGTATGATGGGTACCCAACATTGTCAATGAACAGTATTATTGAAATTCGTGCTCTAGCTAAACATTAGTGATTTGAAGCTTATTCAGTATAGTATTAGTTACTTCAAAATGTGTTGGTTTACCTGTCATGCTATATGGGCAGTATTGAAACTGTGCCAAGAAACCAGAAGAGAAGGTGCTGATACAGAATGTAAAGAAGAAAAAACGAGGGAAAATAATAACACTTATGTCTTTCTAAAATAAATCTATTTTAAATTGTTTGTAGCATTATGATTCAAAAAAGCATTGACTTCCTGAAAATTATTATAAAGTTTTCTTTTGAAGATCGTAGTCCTGCCAAGACTTCCATATTGAGTTTTGTATGTGCATCATGTTGAATTCCATGGAATTTTGTGCAGAGTTAGGCACATGCATAAACTTTTGTGGATCTAAGGATTTGGACTTTTGGCACCAGATTTCTTTTTGAGGTTGCTTTTTTTTGTCACTTTTACCCCTTTAAAATGGGAGGAGCACTTAACTCATTATAACTTCATTGTACGTGTCCTGAAAGTGTCTTGTGTGGAGGCGAAATGACTGTAGTACAAAGATATTTGTGACATCAGCACCTGTTCCTCTAATAGGTAGTTTTGTTACTACTCAGAAGAGTGAAAAAAGAACATGACTCCTGCTCTGTCTTCCAGTCAACTGAAAGGCTCTAATTAAAAAAAGTTACATCATTTTGTAGTTTTGCAAGTGTGAGTAAAGTATGTATATATATCACACACGTGTATATATATCCATACCACTTCCTGTATGCAAATCTATTTTGAATTACAAAGTATGAATTTAAACTTCCACTGCTCGTGGAGATGACAAGTCTTTATATCATTGAGAAGGCTACTGACAGGTACTTCATTTGTATCTGGAAGCCATTTACAGAAGTTTTGTTCCTCATTTTGACATAATTATTTCTGAAATGTAAATCTCTTAGGCTTGACTTCATATTTTGCAAGAAAGAATTTTTAGTGTATGCTGTTTCTATTAAACGCTACAAAATTCCACCAGAAGACTTCCCAGTCTGAGGTGCAAGACAATGGTGAAACAGATAGACCCCGAATTTGTGAGCAGAGCAGTTTGCAATGAATTTTTGTGATGCAGTGAGATGCTGATTGTGACTGAAAAGAAAGCTAAGATACTGGTTTCATCTTCATGCTGAAAGCACAGAATGATGTTACAGCTAAACTCATCCAGTAGTCATTTGCTGTTACTCCTTGCCACTTTGGCAAGCCTGGTGGGCCTGATGTTTCACTTGAATTTACTGACGCTTATTTTACACTCAAATGAGTCAGTTCAAGAAGCCAAAATGGGAGGGGACATACAAGGGGGAGGGACACCAAGGTGTTGCTTGCTTTCTTAGTTTATTTGGGATCTGTTTCTCTTATGTAGTTGTAGTAAGTATCGGCGCTGCTTGCGTTAGCAGGCGTGAGTGAATTCACAGGGCAGGTAGGTGGTTCCATGAGGTCTGACTTTGAATTAACTGTAGTCTGTTCCCATAGCTCAAACAAAATTTAGTAGCTTTGAGCTAGGTGCTCTCCCTGAGCACAGCTTCTAACTTGGTTCCGTCTGACTGGAATCCAGTTTGGGCTCTCTAGGATAATTTAGGGATGTGAACAGAGGTGCAATAAATGGCAGTTTTTGAGAGGTTTATTTCAAAAGCTAATATAGGTGACCCTGTGCGTCAGCTTCCCCTCTGCTGCCCTCATCTCACCTTCTCCCCACGCCCCCCGAACCTCTTCCTTAATCTGTATGTAGTGTTTCTGTCCAATTTTAGAAGGGTACTTTCACTTGTATGATACTCTTGCTATATACTTGGTGGTCCATGTGGCCTGTACGTGCAACCATCAGATAGGTGCTTTACCTCTTCTAGAATCACAGTCACAGAGTTTGGAAACTGGCAGTGTCACTAGTGTTTCCTAGCTCTGCAGAAAGTATTTCAACAACTTATGTCACATCTGTGATTGTCATCTTGTTGGCTGTGTGACACCTCACTTGTGCCCTTTTTCCTTCTATTGCATTTTCAATTGATTAGCTGTTCAGTTAAGCAAAACAGTTTATTTTCTAAAGGAGTTGCTTTACATCTATAATTTAATTTTTATCCTACTTCTGTTACTCTAGTCTTAAGGATACAACATTGCACTCCTACTCTGAGACAAAATTAATTGCCACGTTCTTATATTTTAGCATGAGTTGGTTTTAAAGAATCCACTCTCAAGATCAGTCCCTGAATTTCATCTGTAAATTCTTTAGCCCCAGTAACTCAATTTTCTTTAAAAAATTTTCTCTCATAGCCAGTTAACTGTTACATAATTCTTATGTTGATTCTTCAGAAGTAACTATTTCCTATTCATATGAATTACTTTGGGTTCAGAAAAGCATCATCGATAACATTCCCTTAGTCTACAAAATAGTCTTTTGTCCAAAAATTATATACCTTTAGTATGGCCAAGCTGACCTAGGATAACATTTGCATGGGATTAATAATTTTCAGTTTACCTCTGTATCTTGACTTTTCCTCAAAATTTGTCTGAGACTATAATTTCACTTTGCTTTAAATCAAAAATTTCCTGTGGGGAAGGGAGGAAGAAACAACTTCAGTAGGGAGAGCCTGGTTGCATCGACATGCACAGTTCCAGTGAAGAATGTGGTTTTGAAGTGAAACCCTTTAGTCATTGCTGCTTGCCACGTTTTTGCTCACAGTTTGTGTTTGCATTTGTGGTATTGTGCTCACATTTGTAGCACATGAACAGGATTCCTTTTAGATGAAACAAAATTGAAAGGAGTCTGTAAGATCATCTAATATGTTCCAAATGCTCGTGAGTGTTCAAGTCACAGACACAAACCAGGAGTAAAGTAAAAACTTCAGAAAGGGTCGCAATGTAGGTGCCTGGTCCTCAGCAACCACTATTTGCTCTGCAAATTCACTGTTGTTTTGTGGTTCTGTGCAAATCAAAAATTATACCTGCAATAGAAGCCAAGAGGAGACACCAGTGATAGGCAATAAACTATATTTTGGATTAACTAGCCTGTTAGAAATCATGTTTCCACATGCAACTATGTCTAGCTAATATTTTCCTGCTCTGTCATAGCAGTTGTGAATCATCTCAGCTTAGGAGGACATCATTCCCCTACTTACTAGGGAAATACCAAGCCAAGTCACTGGAACTTATTTAATTCCTACAAAAAAATAGGTAATATGTAGTTTTAGTATTTGAGAATTATTCATGTATTTCTACATATGAGTAAGTGCTTTGGTTGTTGCTTTTAAAATTTCAGAACTGGAAACGTCGCTGTTTTACACTAAAGTAATCCCAAATCTGCTGTAATGAACAGACATATAGATAGACAGACCCATCTGTCACTCTGGGAGAACTGAAGAAAGTAGTATTGAAGTTAAGATCAATCAGTAGCAATTTATGAAGCAGAGCAGTCTTTTTCCTAACAACAGGTTCTTGACAGAATAACTTGTTTCCTTCAGAAATTTAAGAGAAGCAAGAGATAATGCTGTTGCTGAAAAAGAAAGAGCAGTTCTTGCCGAAAAGGATGCTTTAAGAAAATATGATCAGCTCGTAGAACAGTAAGTATCTTTTAAAACACATATTAAAGAACCTGAAGGTGTAACAATATCTCTAAGGAATTCTAGGCAGGAGGAATTACTGCTTTGGCTTTCTGCTTATAAAGAGTAAATTGAATTACAAAACTTTTGTTTAAATGAAGTTACAGATTTATTCCAGTAGTAAACTTTTTTCCTGTTATCAGTGCAGTAACAATATGGAAGTGTGATTCTTTTCTTACAATCCTATAAAGAGAAGCAAACATATTTATGCATCTCACAGCAGG